TCCCCTCCCCTCCCTCCCTTCCCTTCCCTTTTAATTTTATTTTATTTTTTCAATATACAATGTGGTTGATTATTGTGGCCCATTACTGAAACCTCCCTCCCTCTTCCCTCTCCCCCCTCCCTCCCAACAACCTCATATCTGTTCGCTTGTCGAATCAACTTCAAGGAATTGTCATTGTTGGTAACACTTCTTTAATATCACATATTATCTGTCATGATTGCCCAACTTGGAAATAATTGATTTGTTTGAATTACAATATATATATAAGACACTCCCCCCTGCTCCCCCCCATTGCCTGTGGTTGTTATGGCTCAATCTGAAGGTTCCTCTTCCCTCTTTTTTCTTCCTAGCAATTTATTTGTTGAAAAAGTCATATCCTTCTCCTTCAGAGTTTCCCATGTTTTGGAGTAAGTTGATTGCATCCCATGGTGTCATTTAACATCTCCCTTGTCTCCTGTAGTTCCCACAACCTGCTAGTTATGCTATGCTTTAAAAACAGCGAATTTCCAGGTCCCTTGCGAAAAAGTTACTTGGACTGTGTGGGTGCTGGGGATCTCTCTTTCCTAAGGAACCCCAGGTGGGTCTGTCTTAATTTTGGGAAACACCAACCTGTCTGGCTCCTCTAATAGCCACAAATCTGCCTCAGTCACACCAAGTGTCAGAGAGTGGTTGTGGTGGGTTAACTGAGACTCCCATTTGGGACCGTACCTCTTTCCTCTAACTAAGGTTACGAAAACTTCTTAAGTTATCAGGACCCTTCCTGGCCTAGAAGGTATGTGTGTCAGGGGGAGGAGCAGCAGTCGGGCTGCGTAGCCTCCGAGGACATGTGTGCTGTCCACAGGGTGGTGGGTTCGCCAGGACTGAGGGCCACGAGTTGCTGACAGTGTCACCCTCTGTTCTGGGCTGCTGATGCAGGTGTGCTGTTTCTTCTCTGCAGAATGCTCTCCCACCCCCACTCCCCAGGACCAACTGTCTCCTTAACAGCTGAGACATTCCCCAGGTAACAGCCAGCACCGTGGCACACAGCAGTCATCAGAGTGATCTTTTTAGCATCTCCATCAGATCACTTCCCTACCCTGATCACGTTCTTCCTATGACTTCCCATCACACATAAAACAAGACCCACACTGCTCACTACAGCAGACAAGGCCTGCTATGGTCTGGCCTGTGCTGACTTCTCCAACCACACCTTTCAATCTTCTCCATCATTCCTCCCTGGCCAAACTAGCATTGGATGGTGCTAGAATAGGTCAGCCTCATTCCTACCTCAGGGTCTTTACACTTGCTGTTTCCTCTAGGAATGCTCTTTTCCCAACTCTTCACATGACTCCCTCACTCCCAACTCTGCTGAAATATCACTTCCTCAAAGAAGCCTTCCCTGACGGCCTTGTGTCACACAGTACCCGTCCTCACTCTATCCTCTTATCCTGTTTGATTTTTCCTTATAGCAATTTTAATTACCTGCAATTATGTTTTTCCTATTTGTCTATTCCTTTAGCTTGTGGGTGCCTTGAGGAGAGGTGCTTCTATTGTCTCATTAACCAACATATCCCAAGCAACTAGCGCAGTGGCTGGTATATAACAGGTGCTCAATAAATATGTGTTGTATAAATGGATAGATGGGTGGGTGGGATAGATGAGACCGCATCTTTTCAGTCCTGTCCCTCCTCTCCTAGCACATGCACACACACTCATCAAGCTCTTCTGTTTCTTAAAGAACCATCTGTCTGGGTCATGTCCCTCCTCACAGGTATCCTGTCAGGAGTCATACAGTTAGAAGGTACGTCCAAGGGTCCTTTTTGAAGGCACAAGATTTTACGGGACTGGGTCCTTCATGTTGGGATGTACTTCAAAGGAACAGGGAGGTTTGGGGCTTGGCTATGGAAAAACTGGATTTCAAGTCACATGCTGTTCTAGAAAATAATTTTATTGAGCAGTAGGAACCTCACTGGGGTCATAAAGGGCTGGTCATAAAGCAGTATGTTAGCCTCAAGGGGATGTTGGTCATCTTTCTCCACGCTGTTCCTGCTCCAGGTAGCAGTTCTCCCTGGGTGTCTTTATTTTGCCTCCTGAGACTCCAGGCAGGAGGCCCCCTGGGTAGCCACAGATTGCTTCTTTGAGTTTCAGGAAGCCCAGCCCCTCCTGGTTTGTGCTGGTGATTGCTGCAAATGACTTAGGGCAGGAGACCATCTGGTAGAGCTGGCTCCTGCTAGGCCACAGTGAACCTTCTCTCTGCCCTGAACTCCTCAATTAGCACAGTGCAGACCTTCTGCTCAAGAAAGGAATCTAGAGGATTGCGCAGAGGAACGTCAGTCAGGGTTCTCTTTCAGGCCAACTTCAGCCCTGGGATCTTCAAAGCAGCCTCTTCAGACCTCACTTTCTGAGGCTCCTTGCGCATGGTCGGTTAGCATGGAAGGGGGCTCCAGGCTAAGGATGGCTCAGGCAGAATGGCTCAGGCAGAATGGCTCAGATTCTATTTCCAGTGGTGGGCAATGGAGGTCACTGCAGAAGAGGCATTGGCTGTCTTAGGCACTTAAACATCTGTCCTCTGTACAGAGTGGCTCAGCCAGCAAGCTTCTGCAGGGTCAGCCTGCTGCCATCATGCTACAAGCACTAAAATTTGGGGCTAAAGCAACCTGGGCTCCATCTGACTCAGCCAGAGCTTGACGTCTCTTGGGAACCCATCTGGGGGCTGGCTTCTCTGCTTCAGCCTTTGCTGGGATGGCCACAGGAGCATCCCCATAGACCAGGTAGCCACCAACCAGGCAGTATGTTTCCCTATGCCAGCCCACCTGGGTTTCTCCACACCGTTGGTAGAGGACATGGTAGTGACCAGGTGTAGGAGAAGTTGGAGGCACTGCTGCTGGAAAGAGAAACAAAACTGATCCGTCATTTTTGGTTTCTACATTGTGCTGTCAAGATCTCCCCTCTCTCACATATCTTCCTGTTCCTGGCTGAAGCCCTCTTATCTGCTTGGCATCCCAAACACAGCCTTGGCCTATCACCTCTGTGGGGCACCTAGAGAAGGAGTGTTGGCTGCAGAGGCAATTCCGTGGAGCCGATGGCAGCAGCTGGAGACCAAAATATCTGTTTCCTGTTCCCAGAGAGAGAACAGTAGAACCTCAAAACAATTACTACCAGGAGCCCCTCAATCTGTCCCTTTCACAACTGAGGAAACATTTCTTCAAGTCTGTCACTTCAGAGGCTTTAATGGAAATGGTTTCCAAGTTTTGGAAACAATGATCTAATATAAATCGGTTTGTCTGAATTCAATATTCTGGGGCAAAAGAAAAATGGGTTAAGAACCCCTCTCACTTTGGCAGCTCTTCTTAGGCCCTGTTCATACTGCCTGCTTTAACTACACTGATCTGTAGTCCTCTGATACCTGTTTTATTCTGGGGGGGCGGCTGGATGGTACAAGGATCTGAACCCTTGATTTTGGTGTTATTACACCATGCTCTCACCAACGTAGATAACAGGCCAGCCCTCTGATACTTTTATCTAGATTTCCTAATACTTTCTAAGGTCAAATACTGAGCCAGAGTGACCAGGAGGTTCAGAGCCAGGTTCTGGGTACCAAGTCTAGGCTCAACGAGCTTTCTCCCATCAACCCAACCCCCAAGATGCCACATCCTCAGGCCTCCAGTCTCAGCAGCACTTCGTCACTCCCTTTGGCTCTTCTGCTCTTCCTGGCTGTGATGCCACCCTTTCCTCCAGACTCAGTAGCTCAGACTGGTCTGATGTGTCTGAGGGGTGCATGTATGTATCTACATGACAGCATGGTGAAGGTGCCTGGATCTGAAGGTAAGGTTCATGAGCAACCTTTAACAGCTCTTCCTCAAACTGCTCCATTTATCAGTTACCTACAAAAGCACACTTGGCTTTTGTTAAGAGGCCAATCAGGAAAGAGTCTGAATGGAAGCATCTTGCAGCCCAAAGGGAAAAGCTGGATTTACAGATTAGAACTTTTCTGAACATTCATCCAGAGGTGATATTTCACTTGCCGTCAGCAGTGAGTAGGAACACTGTGGGTCCCTGAGGGGCCCAGGTCAGTGCTAGTAGTGATGGCTGGGGAAGCTCTGGGTGTGGAGGGGAAGCCCAAAAGGACCATGTGGCCACCAGGTGAGGTTGTGGGTACACCAATGCCTCTTATACAGATGCCTGACCCAGGCCTACCTGCTGCTCTGCCCTCCTAAGGAACTGAGGAGAAGTTTGATTGGATATAGAGGATCCAGTCAGACATTCTCTCTCAATCCACCACACAGACTGCTACCTTATAGAGAACAGGTAGGGAAGTTTCCCCTAGGGCACCACATTTGTGTAGTTACCCTGCCATGGAAACTGAGGTCTCTGTGGTCATCACTGCCCAGTGAGGTCACGTAAGGCATCTACAACTTGAGGGACGGGCTTCAGGCCCTTGGGGTTTTGTGGAGAGCAGGGCAGAGGTAGAGAGAAACCCTGCCCGGGACCTCACATCTGGTGCTCCCCTCTCATGCCCTAATCAGGTAGCTGCTCCTTGTTGAGTACACCTGTGGGCCGGCACAGCCCCAATGACCATAGGAAGGCAAAAGAAACCCAAATTTTGAGATTTGCTGGAGAGGGAAGATCAATGTATTAGTCAGCTAGGTTGTGTAGCACTGATCCTAAGCATTGAATATTGGAGAGGCAGAGGTTTGAATGGAGTAGTGGATCAGGAAATGCTTGTTGGAGGTGGGCCTAAGGATAAGTGAGATTTGGATACCTTGAGAGGAGAGGAAAGACATTGCAGTTGTGAAGAATAAGAATAAAGAGAGGCTCTTCTTAACCTTGTTCTGCTCCAAATGAAAATTCACAGAACCCTCACATTTTCACAACTTGGGGTTCAAAGAAACCAAGGGGTTAAGGGGCCTACCTAAGATCACAGAGGTAGTAGAAGTATGTTCTGCTCACTGGTAGGGCTTCATTTGGTGCTCCAGATTTATAGCTGATAGGAAAGTGAGGACAAGCCATCACACTGAAAGGAGATGGACACTGGGAGGAATGTTAAAGATGCTCCAAGGCAAAATGAGTCCCAAATAACTCCTCAAAGTGGAAATGATGGGTCCATTTTAACATGAAATTCAAAACAAATTAATGACAAAATGACAATGCAAAATGACAACACTATTACCCTCCCACGTCCTCAGAAAAGGCAAACGACAATAAATCCCTTCACCAGAAAAGGATGAGATGTGGGCTCAGTAGCAGCCCAGGTGAAAAGCAGGGTCAACACTGTGAAGAGGTGTAACTAAAAGACACTTACTTTTGGTCCAACTTAGGAGGAAATAGACAACTCTGTCCTTAGACTGATCAGGCCCACATTAGGAGACCATATTTGAGGCAGCCTTTGATTTGGCATGGCAAAGAACTTCCTATGAATGAGAGATAACCTTCAGGTGGGGGCTCCCTTTTACTGGCTTTGAATAAGCAAACATGGACCATTTCTTAACTAGGGCTGTTGCAGAAGGGATGTGCCCAGGAGGCAGAGATGGCCTGGAGGTTGGGCAACCTTGGTTGGGAATCATAGCACCTGTTTAGTTGCTTGAATTAGCATGGTGCATGTTAGGACAGACAGAATCCAAGTTTAATTCGAACAAATTGCCAGAGGAGTGGGGATGGGGGATGATAGTGTGAAGGGGAGGATTCCGGGGGGAGGTTTGTCTTGGCAGGAGGGCCAACATGAGACCAACTCAAATTCTCCAAGGCTCTGGACAGAGTATTCGTCTGGGAGCATCCCTCTGATCTGGCAGGGGTACTGACACGTCACCAGGACCTGTCTGGGACTCTGGCGAGGCAGTACAGCACAGACAAATGGTTTATCAACTTAGGAGGGCCCGAGAATACCTGGGGAGCTTATAAAAATAGGATTCTTGGGCCAACCCTCAGAACTTAATCCAATCTGGAGTGGGGCCCAGTAATCTGCACCTTTAACAAGTTTCCTGGGCAGTTCTGCCACAGTGATCCATGGATAGAGTGACCAAATAGTCTAAACTGGGATACTTTTGAGAGTCAAAGTGGGCAATATTAAAAACTGTGCCAGAGGGGATGGCCCATTGGCTCAGTTGGTTAGAACACAGCCTTGTAACACCAAGGTCAAGGGTTTGGATCCCCTTATTCGCCAGCCACCAAAAACCAAAAAGACAAATAGAATTGACAGTATGTAGGGGACTTGTAAAAACAAACAAATAAAAAAAACAAAAAAAAACTGCCAGGCAACAGATGTAAACAAGGAATATCCCAGGAAAACAGAAGTGTACAGTTTTCCTGTGCATAAATTACATTTGAGAAAAGCTAGCATGAGGGCCAGCCCGTGGCTCACTTGGGAGTGTGGTGTTGATAACACCAAGGCCATGGATTCGGATCCCTATATAGGGATGGCTGATTAGTTCACTTGGGAGAGTGTGGTGCTGACAACACCAAGTTAAAGGTTAAGATCCCCTTACCAGTCATCTTAAAAAAAAAAAAAAAAAAGAAAAAAAAGCTAGCGTGGTGGTTAAGAATACAACCTTTAGTGCAGAAAGATCAGATTCTGTCCTACTTTTTTTTGTGGTCTTGAACATGTTTTTTTGACCCTTTGAGCCTCAATTTCTTCACATAAGAAAGAGAACTACAAGTGTTTATTCAGCAGAGTATTCTCTTTTGGCAAAAGTTGCCCTGGACCCATTTCTGTCCTGTGCAACCTTACCCTTTTCAGTGTGCCAAGTATTTTTAAGTTGTTTTGTGGAACATTATATTTCACTCTCAACTCTTCTCTACTTCAGGCAAAGCTCATATAATGCCATAGAGACCAGAACCCAGGAGATAGTGAGAGGATACAATATGCTTATTTTACCAGTTTCATAAAACAGTTTAATCATCTCTCCTCTTCCTCCGCCCCCAAGAGATGGGAAAGAAGGCAGAGCCTGGAAATGCACAAGCAATACTTCTACGTCAGTCTCCCTTTTACTTTTCTGCCTGTACTACCCAAAGAGATTTCATCAAGAGTGCCCAAGCTCGCCTTGGACATTGTTGTTGAAGATAATCTCTCTACTGCTAGTTACATCCCCTTTCCCTACTCTGGGGACTTAATATCTTTTGGGGGGCAGGAAATAAAACCTAAGTTTACAAATTAAAACATCAACTGAAAGAGCCTTTGTCCTAGATATGGTGGTTTGGGTTGTGAATCCTCAGAATCCACTGAATTCTGTCCTAGTGGTAATTATTATTAGGGAAGACCCATAAAAAGTTAATTTGTTAGAAATCGTGACATGATACAAAGTCAAAATCCACTTTATTTGGGTGTCACGTAAAATACTGAGAGCCATGCTCAGTAGCTTACGCTGCAATCCTGGCCTGCAGCTCATTGGCCTTCATGGAGGTGACGGGGCAGCCCAGTGCCTCCCCCTGACAAGTGTGCTCACCCACCCAGGATACTGGAAAAGATCCCTGTTTTGGCATCACATTTAAGCCAGCCAAAATCAGGTTTGCTGAGGCAACGTCTCTCTCACTGAGGACTCTAGTCCTGGAAGGCTTCTTCTTCGGCGAGCTGCCAGCTCAATCTTCTGAACCAGGCTCACATCCCAGGGATGAGTAACAAAACTGATAATGGTTCCTGGCACCTTGCTCCCCACACGGCCCACTCTCCCAGCTCTGTGGATATAATCTTGCAGGGTGAGGGGGAAATCATAATTGACAACCAGCTCCACATGGGTGCTGTCCAAGCCCCGAGAGGCTATGTCTGTGCAGAGAAGTATGTCTCGGGAGCCCTTCTGGAAGCGCTGGAAGATACCTGCCCTCATTAAGGCTGGCATTTGCCCCTGCAGCCTTAGGTGTTGGATTTTGTGGTCATCCAGAATATATCCCAGCCAGTTCACAGTACTGGAGCTATTACAGAACACCAGGACAGTTCCTGAGGGTCCACTCCTATCTGCTCTGTCACGCTGCTTGAGGATCTGCACCAACTCAGTTACCTTCTCTGCTCCCTTCAGCCTCATAAATGTCTGTCTGATATGGGGCATGATGCAGTGGAGCTTGGAGCTAGTGATGGTGGTGAGAGAGTCTGGACTGGCGACTTTTTTCAGCAACTGGCCTACCCCTTCGGGAAATGTAGCTCCCACCAGCACTAACTGAGCTTTGGGATTGAAAGGGTCTTCTAAGTCAGCCGGGCCTTCTGCAACATTGCTCTTCTCGAAGATGTAGTCCACGAGTTCAAGGAAGCTTTCATCCAGTAATGTATCTGCCTCATCCAACACCAAGAAGGAAAGTTGCTCCAGGCTGATCAGTCGACTTTTTAGGGCCTTCCACAGAGCCCCCGGCGTGGCCACTAGCACATCTGCGGAAGGTTGTTTGGACAGCTGCAGCCTGATCCTACGCATACCATGGCCTCCCCCTAGCTCCCGCACCTGCAGGCCCAAGGAGCTGCCCAAGGGCTGGGCCACGGCCTGCACCTGTTCGGCTAATTCTCGGGAAGGCACAAGGACCAGGCCCCGGGGATCGGGGATACGGCGGAAGTCCAGGCTTCGCCCGCCTACCAGCCGTTGAAGCAGCGGTAGTAGGTAGCCGAGAGTCTTACCACTGCCGGTTTCCGCGGCGCAAAGGACGTGGCGGCCGCTTAGTACTGGGGGGATGGTGCTCGACTGCACGGCTGTGGGCCGAACGACTTCGGGCGCAGCCTCCTGCAGTGCACGCAAGACACGAGGTTCCAGACCTAAGTCCGCGAAGCTGCCCTCGGAGAGGTTCCGTAGCGCCGGCGCCTCGTGTTGCACGCGTTCGATAGAGAAGTGGTCCCGACGCGCGCGCCGGCTCCTCCAGCCACGAGACGCGAGAGGCGCGCATTCCCAACGGCCTAGCGTGAGGCGTGCCGGCTGGTTCAACTCCGGTCGCCGCGCCGAGACCAGCAGCCGTCCAGGTCGCACCAACACGGGCCGCGGGGCGCTCCGCCCTGCGCTCTGCCGCTGTTCCTGCCGCCGCTGTAGAATCCGCGGAATACGTACCACCGGCAGGGGCTCGTCGGGACCGCGGACCACCAAGTCCCGTCGGGGCTCCAGGAGCAACCTAGTCGCGAGCAATACCGGCCGCGTCAGCCGTGCCAGAGCCATATTTCCTGTGGAGCGGGGAGGCGCATGCGAGTGACGTCATGGACGCGCCGCAGCCTCGAGTACGGTGGCTGGTGCTGCTCAGTACCGCGTGCGGAGCTGGAGAAGTAGCATCCGTAGAGTTCAGCTACTGCGAGGTCTGTAGGTCCAA